AAAAAAGAAAAGAAAAGAAACTTGATCATCTCCAAAACGGCCATAGACATCAGGACACTTAGAATTGATGTACAAAAGTGGGTTTTATTTCAGACTTGTCTGTCGCATGTGTATAGCTACAGATTTCATAGATGCAGAGGAATTTTGGTTAATATCCTAACACATAGGAGGCATTCTCGCTTCTCAAATTAGAAGTAACAAATACATATTCATAGTTGTTTAAAATTGGCATCTTTTTAATGAGTTTACTGGCTGAATCTTTTAAAAGAATGCAAACATAAATGACTGTTTACCAAAATCTGTGAAAAGAAAAATGGTCCTTCAGTGAGTGCTGTGGTCCTCACACTGCTTTCCCTGGGTCCACCTGATGTCAGTGCAGCAGTCTGGGGTGGACAGTTGCACCATGTACACTGCTGGGCACACTCAAGTGGCCACCTAGGCAAGAACCTTCAGCTCACGTGTAGGTGCAGCCTGGAAGTACATGGGGGTTAACATCTCCAAAGCAACCCTCAACCAGCGGGTGCTGGGAGTTGGTGGATATATGTCCCAGATTCTTCTGTAGGACAATGATGAGGCACATTCTACACAGCTTCTCAGAGGGGCCTCAGTGGGATTGGTCCCCAATCAGCTACTCTGGTAACCAACTCAATAACACACAGTAAGTATTAGCTGTTCTCCCTTCCCTTCCCACTCTCCCTATTCCCTCACTTCTAGTTCCTGGGGTCACCTTCCAAATGAAGTACATGTACCCAAATCCTTATCTCTAGCTCTGCTTTCTTAAACAGATCCTAAGAAATAATGCTTGAAATAAAAGCAAAATCGTATGTCTCTAGAAGCAAGGGCTGATACTGGCAAGCAACAGGCCTCAAACTATGACCCAGGAAGACAGCTTCTCTGGAGGATGTTGGCATCACCTCCTAGATACAGAATATGCTGGCTTCATCCAAGTGGTTTCTTCTTTTCACACTTTAAATACGTGTTTCATTAGGACCACATATGACCCTTCTGATTTCATACCTTGCCTTTTCTTTTTATTCTACAGATTCTTCTGGGAAGCCTAAATTCACCAAGTGCCGTTCACCTGAACTAGAGACTTTTTCATGCCACTGGACAGATGGGGTTCACCGTGGTTTAAAGAGCCCAGGATCCATACAGCTGTTCTATATTAGAAGGTGAAGCCTTCATGACTTTCTGATTTTTCTCTCCATGGATTTAACAATTAAGTACACTGAGACACATGCAATATACGAATGGAAGTGATCTATTTTGATGACTTAAATGTATTCTTTCATTCATTAATTTAAAAAATATTAATTAAGCCCTTACTTTATGCCAGGTACTGTTTTAGGCACTGGAGATATAGCAGTGACTATAAGAAGGCAAAATCCGTGGACCCAACGATATTTTCTTCCAGTAGTGGGAAACAGACATTAAAAAAATAAATGAAATATCAGCTGGTAATATAGGTTATTAAGAAAACAAAAGCCAGAGAAAGGATAAAGAGTGTTAGCACCATGTGTGAGTGTTTGCATGTACATGACAGTGTGTGAGAGTGAGAATCAAAGTGTGGGTGGGAGTGTGTGTGGATATGCATGAATATGTGCATGTTCATGAATGGGGGGAGACTGTATGTGGATGTGCATGTGTGTGCATGTGCATGAATGGGGGGGGAGTGTGTGCAGATGTACATGAGTATGTGCATGTGCAGGAATATGGGTTAGAGTGTGCATGGATACACATAAGAGTGTGCATGTGCAGGATGGGGCGTGAGTGTGTGTGTGTAGGGGCTCAAGTGATATTTGAAATGGGGAGGTCATAAGAGGC